TATATATATATACTTTATATCTACTTTATATTAAGCTTAACTCTAGGAAATTACTAATTATTATTAGTAGCTATTATTATATCTTTTTTTTAATTTATTAATATAAAGAAAGTTATAGTAAGTTTAAGTTAGTACTAGCTTATTCTCTGCTTAATAGCTAACTACTATAAAGACCTCTAGTGCCTTTAAAAGTAAAATAATAATTAAGTTCTAGTCTTAGAAAGTTACTAGTAAGTCTATATATATTTTTATTTCTACTTTTATTCTAGCTCTAACTTTATATATAGCTTAGTCTTTTCTATAAAGTTATTTATATTTTATATATTACTTAAATCTTAGCTACCATTATTACTACTAGCTTAAAGCTAAATAAGCTTTAAGTCTATTTATACTAAGAGATTATTAAGTTAAAGATAGTATTATACTTTAACTATTATATTTATAATAATTATTATATCTTTATAAGTTACCCTAAAACTCTAGCTTTAATTTAGCTATAATATAATATAATATTTAAGACTTATTTTATCTTTCTATACCTTTAGAAGAAGCTAGAAGTAGTCTTTAAGATAATACTATTATATATTATAATAAGTAGTTTACTCTACTTCTAGCTTAATATTACTAACTAGCTATTTTAGTTTACTTCTTAATTTTTTAAGAACCTTATATTACTGCGCAATTGTACACAGCGCATGCACCCCTATTTTCTGGCTAACATAGTCTAGCTTAATACTAGCTAGAGAATTAAATAATAGTATAAACTGCTATAAGAAGATTCAAAGTTAGTTAAAGAAAATTGTAATATTAGTTGCTACTATAGCTATATTTATAGTAAAGTTAGTTTAAATTCTAAATAAGTATACTAGCTATATAGCTAAAATAAAAGCTTTACTTATAAGTATAAATAAGTATACCTACTTAGTAGAACTTTAAAAGAAGAAGTATAAAGAGAGGTTTATAAGTAGATCTAGAGTAGCTATAAGTAGGTATAGTAGTAACTTTAGTATATAGAAATAAGTCTATATAAGTTGTAAGTCTACTTAGTAGCAGAATTAAGAGGGGGGGGAGAATAAAGTAAGAGTAGCTTAAGCTTAAGCTATATTTAGCTATAGTAGCAGCTGCTTATACTATAGGCTTAATATACTTTACTTTAATAGATTTAATAATTATTTAACCTTACTATTACTATAATAATAGGCTAGCATTTAGCTAGTATTACTATAATTCTACCTCTAGCGCTTTAGTATTTAGTTAAGTAGTTTTACTTTTTACTCTTTAGCTAGTTTAGCTGCTAACTAGTAGTAAGTTATTTAGCTTATATTAATAAACTACTAAGTTAGCTTTACTACTAGCTTAAAGTAAGCTAGAGCTTATTTAACCTCTTTATTATTTTATAGCTAATTTAGTAGTTTTATGCCTATATAAAGTAAGTATAATAAAATAATATAGTATATATCTTTCTTCTTAGTACTATATTAATATAAAAGCAACTTTATACTAAGTACCTACTTATAGTAGAGAAACTTATTTAGCTTTATTTTACTTATTTATAGCTAGTTTGCCTAT